TCTGGTCTGTGAGAGGGCCTTCAGAATAAAATCATGTTCTGCCCTCAGCCCCATCTTATGTCAGTCTCCAACCAGGAAGTACCATGCTGCAGTCAGGCAACTCAAAGAAAAGAGAAATTTAAATTCTTTTCAGCCACAATTCAAAAGCAATGTCTTTCACTAAATTATAATTCAGCAAATTTTAATTTATTACTTTTTTCAGTTTCTAGTTATTTGAGTGACTATTGTGAGTTTTCCCATTTTCTTTAATGGAAGGTTATGAAGAAAAAAAAAAAAAATATATATATAAAATTTAGTGTTTATTACATATCTATACAAAAAGGCTGTACAGGAAATGATCAAAGCAGCTCAATATAATAAAACTACGAGAGACGAAGAGAAGCACATAAATAATAATAAAACAAATATACACACAAACTAAATCAATTTAAAATCAGACTGTATGTTACGTGCCAGAGGGCTGGTTGTATGTTCTGCCTCTCCTTCCCCCTCCGTTCCAGGTGCTAATGACCTGAGTGGATCCACCTGGAAAGCTGACTTCCACCTGTCCAACTGGCCAATCAGATGTGGTGTGTTGCAGCATCAGGCCCAGTGTCAGATCAGGAGAGCTGCTGTTGTGACCGCATGGTGCTTTGTCTGAGAGACTTGTGTTTTGCTTACTAGAAACTTGGATGTACATTTCTGTGGTGGTGAGGTTGGGAGGATGGATAAGTTAGGTACCCTACACTTTCAGCACATAGGAATTTTTTCTCATACCCACTAGGGTGATTGGTTGGTGCCACCTATGTATTTATTGCAAAGCTTGGTTTGTGGAAAAGTTAGGTCTTTTGTTTGGGTTTGTTTCATTATATAAGAAGTTAGTCAGGCCTTGTTTTGTTATTTTCAATTGTTTAACATCACCTTGTCCCTTTCCTTCCACCTCTTGTGAACCTTTGTGCACCCTTTTTTTTTTTTGTTGGAGCACTGTTGAAATAAAACTCAAATGTTTGTTTACACCTCACAATGACTCCCGCCTGTCTTTTGGTTGGTATGTTGCTTTCCTCCTAAGAGAGAACGTAACACTGTATATCAAGAGCTCAAACTTTAGACCACATGTGACACATGACCCGAGCAGCTCTGAATGCAGCCTGACCGCAAAGCATTCTGGTCCAGTGCGGTGACAGACGCCATGATTTTACTTTAGCCGGAGCAGAAAATGGATGCTTCCTGCTAGCTGGATGGATATCTGTGGCTCCCAGCGGGTTCTGCGCAGCGCTTCTATCCCTTCGTCACGGAGAGTCCCCTTAGAAGACTCAGACCTGCCTGTCGCTTTGCTCATGAGCCGCGTTAAGTTTGACAACTATTATAAAGTAAATGAGCAGAGTGTCGCTGCTCAAGTGGAGCCGGAGGCTACACAGGCAGCTAGCAGGCTCATGCTAGCATCCAGCAGCGGACTGGGAAAGGATGCTAGCTAAAAGAGGCTAGCACCATCATAATAACAGCCGGCTCACCGTAGCAATACATCCTGCTCAGCTGAACTACAGAGATATAAGTCGGACCAGAGGCTACACCTAAAGGTAACGATATCTGACTAATAAAGACTTTTAAACGTTGTTAAATATGTTTATCTTGGGAAACGTGCTTGCTTGTGCGAGATGGACCCTGTCGGCCTACTGCGTCACTCTGTCAAAGCTTTGTGTTTTCACTTCATCCAGCAGTTTTTCTGCTTAACATGACAGCTCTTAAATGAGACATGATGTATTACAATACCTGTCCCCACATGTAGTTTGTATTTCAGTCACTGCTTACTGCTGGTAGGTGGAGCCTCTGCAAACAGCATGGACTATGTTTATACTCAGCTTTGAAATACTTATCAGACCACATTTTGTTTTCTTTAGAAAGTCTGATAATTTTATTCGAATTTTATCATTAGGGTTAATTGGTTACAGCAAAAAGTTTCAAAAAGAGCGAATCTGCTCGAGCAGGGGTTGCCCAATCCTGGTCCTCGAGAGCCCCTATCTAGTATGTTTTAGATGTTTCCCTCTTCCAACACACCTGATTCACATGGTCAGGATCGTTACCAGGCTTGTGCAGAGCTTGATGATGAGCTGATCATTTGAATCAGGTGTGTTGGAAGAGGGAAACATCTAAAACATACTGGATAGTGGCTCTCGAGGACCACGATTGGGCACCCCTGTGCTAGAGGGACATTACAAACCAGCTTAGCATCAGCAAAACAGCTGTCCCTTACATCCTTCAGAAGAGCACACAGTATAGCTCTACCGAAAACCGCTTAGCAAGAGGCAGAAAACGGTGTGCAATAATTATTTACAAAGTTGTATATCTTACCCATTTGCCTGGTGTCTGACTTGGTTCTTTGGCCTCAATAACAGGTATGGCCTGGATTTGATTTGGACGGTGCTGGTGATGGCAGAAGGGACTGACACTGGCGAAATGCCCTCCTTTGACCCAAGTCCTAGTTCTGAAGCAAAAAAGAGACCTAATTCTTCTGATGGCAGTGAGTATTGATCTGGGTTGTGAAGCACATGTTTGTTTTTCTTGAAATGAAAAACATAATTTTGATGTTGTCTCCAGAGGACTGTAGCACGAAGCAGGTTTAACATAGCAAGGCTTTCCTTGTATAAGCTGGCTCAACAAAACCAAGATCCCCAGTCAGAGCTAATGGGCATCACGACCGTAGTTATCAGCTTTCATTTTTCACCAGGCTGTGTGAATCGCCAAAGCCTCCATTTACACGTCTTTCAGCTCTTCTTAAGCTCCAAATGGACCAAACATGTGCTACCTACTTCAATAAAGAGGAACAGGTTGCTATAATGGAGAGCTAAGAGGGATATAAAAATTGATCACAGTAAAAAGCACTGCTCATGCAAGGGATGTAAGAGAGGAATGATGGTAGAAAACTGTTAATTGTGTAAGTTAATATTTTATTTTCCTACTCAGTGCTCTGTCAATGCAGCTGCACATTAGAGCTGATAAACCTCAGACCTCGCACATTTTAACATGGTACTCAAGAAGTGCATTTAGGTCTGACACAAGCCCTGTAGTGAAGGATGCGTGGAAACCACTTCAGTTAAAAAAGACCCACCTGGGTGCTGCTATAGCTCACCTGGTTGAGCTGGTGACCCATGTACAGGGGCTATAGTTTCTGATGCGGAGGTCATGAGTTTGAATCCTGCTCATTGCCCTTTCCTGCAGGTCCTTCCCCCATGTTTCTCCCCCACTTTCCTGTCTGTCTCTCTACTGCTCTATCAAGTAAAGGCAAAAATAACTTAAAAAAGAACCACCTAAAGGACATAAAAACTCTGGTTTTAGGCTCAACATACCTCACAAACCTATTAATCTTGCTTTGTATTGCACCCTACAGTTTTCGTCTCCATGATTTTATTGTATTCAATTATGCCCCCAGAAATTTAATCTATTATTCGTACAACTATTCCTAAACATATACAGACTTTAATTATTGAGTATTGATATTGAGTTGAATTGCATTCCATTCAGTTATATTAAATTTGAAGGTTTAATATTCAGTATCCCAGCAGGCTCACAAGCAGTAGCAGCAGTAACATGAGTCAGAAGTGTGCTTCTGGGTTTCAGGTTGCAGCAACACTGCGACTCTCTCCAGTGGTAAAGGATAAAGACAGCACTATTTTATATTTTTTTGTTTGTAAACAAATCCCATGTCATTACTGATGTTCTGCCAAAAAATGATAGTCTGCCGAAACCTGATAGCCACCCACTGGACTGTGCACTGCTTTCTATATGTGACTCCATGTGCTTTTATCTGGGTCAAACAGTCATAAAGAAATTATCTCATATGCAATTATCCTTATGTCTCTGCATTATTATACTTCCTCAGTGGCCTGGATTCTAACCAGTTCAGTTATTTTCCCCTATTAGAAGAGCTTTAAAGGACTGCAGCTTTTAACTGGTAACTGGTTTGTCATTAATCCATCAATGCGATTTGACTCATTCATAAGGTTGCATTTAGTCATATATTTTAAAGATGATTGTCTTAGTCCATAATATATTCAGAAGCTGTAACAAACAGCATGTCCCTGCGAACAGCAGACCGTTTTTGGCAGACAATCGCTTTTTTTTGGCACAGCACTGGTTTTCTGTTTTCCCTGGCCTGTCTGTGGCTCTCACCCTTCAGCCCACTCATTCCTATTGAAGATGTTCGTTTTTAAAAGGTTTTCAGGATATATACTATAAAACAGCTATTGTTTTATTTGCAAGCCTCACTCAAAGAGAAGCAAATAACACATTTGTTGAAGTATTTTCAGCTGGAGCATCACTGAGTATTTTGAGGCTCAGACCTGCTCTGTCCCACACTTATGAGATGTATCTCCACCACCTCTATAGGTGTAGATGATTAAAGAGGCAAGTGCTGTTTAAGTAATACTGTCCCGTCTTCTAGTCACTTACCTGCCTTTTCTCAAAACTGGACCATTAGATTGGCCACAACATCCTGTTGAAAGACATTAGTGAAGTTGCACTTTTATTACAATGCTCTAGAAAGCTGATTCCTCTGTTTTCTCATTGTTTACTTGTGTCATTTTATTGCAGGAGACGAGCCCATGAGGAAAATGCCTGTGACAAAATTTGGATCGAGACTTCGATTTGAGCCTGTGCACTTTGTCAGTGGTGGAAGCAATGCAGGAACTGGCGCTGATGAGAAGGAGAATGACAAAGATCGTAGGAGGAGTGAGTCGTATGGTGCGAGACAGTGGGACTCTGAACAGTCGTCCTACAGCAGCACCGGCAGAGCGCAGGGCTCCTCCCTGAGGCCTGCGTTTGACAGAGTGCCATCATACACTTCTGACTCCTGGGGTTCACATAGGGACAGAGATAGAGACAGAGAGATTTGTTCAGGTAGTGGCTTGGGTTATTCAAGCCGTGCGCCAACAAACTTCATGTCAAAAACACAGCAGGACTACACAGCCAAATATGAAGCCCACAGCTCTCGAAATTCAGACTCTTATTCTCAGCCCCACAGATACAATGGCTACGGAGGAGGGAGCAGATCAGGAGGCTGGGACTCAGGACGTCAGGGTTTGGGGTACGGCCATCAGGACAGACCATCATCAAGCAGACCTTTCAACAGAGTCTACAACAGCCCTGGCAGGAACAGTCCTAATGTGGCTCAGTCGGGGTCTTCATCACAGCCTGTTCCTATATCTCAGTCAACATTAGATGAGAAGCAAAGGCTGATTGCCAATGTAGCGTCGGCATTAGCTGTTGCGTTTAGGGACCCTATGTTCATGACTGGAAGTGACTCACCAAACTATAATTTCATGTTGAGCCGTAGCATCCAGGCTTGCAAAACCAACCCTGAGTATATTTATGTCAACCTGAAGGATATTCCTCAGGCTGACCTACCGAAGAACAGAAAAGTACCGACAGATGGTTATGCCTGTGAACTGAGATGCCAGGGTGTGTATCTTGCCACTGGATACTCCGGCAGTAAAAATGGAGCGAGGGACCGGGCCTCTGAGCAGGCCGTGAAACTTTTCCTGAAACCAGTCGAGGTTCGTGTTGTGCAGCGAAAATACAGACACTCAATAGTCAACGACATGGTTGTGTGCCAGATGCACAGCCCAACACCAGCGTTTTTACCTGCGCTCCGCAACCCAGAGGATAAACCAACACCCAGCTCTAAGGGCCAGTATGAGCCTGACAAACGTAAACACTGGACAGAGTTTGTGGTTATGGACAATGCTCATGATGCCATCTGCATACTAAACAACTCTGCGGCTTTTAATCGCATGAAGATAGACTATAAGTTCGATCTCCTTCCAAACAACAGCGCGTGGCTGTGCAGTGTTTTCCTGCAGGATGAGCTGGTAGCACAAGCGACGGGCACTAAAAAGAGCTCAAAGCATGCAGCAGCCGAAGAGGCGGTGAGGAAACTTCGCATGAACCAAGCACAGCGGCAGCAGCAGCAACAACAACAGCAGCAGCAACAACAGCAACAGCAGCAGCAGCAACAACAACAACACCAACCACAACAGTCACAGTACTACAGAGGAAATAATCAGTCAGATTGTGTTGGACGCTTTGGACAGCAGGGTGGCAAAAAGAAGCATCTGAGTGAGCTGGTTATTCTGGAGAACTCTGACAATGCAATCTGTATCATTAATGATACGGCTCAGTTTAATAAAGTGACTGCAGATTACAAGTTTATGGTTCTGCCTGATCATCGCTGGAGGTGTGAAGTTTACCTAGAAGGGCAGTATGTTGCAGCAGGTATTGGGCCAAAGAAAATAGTCAAGCACATTGCAGCAGTTGAGGCTTTAGCCACTTTGAGACAGACGCAGGCTGTGGTCAAATCGAACCTGAGAAAGGAGGGTCACAACGACGCCATATCCCGCTCTCAGATCCTGGCTCGCTCTGGTGAGGAGGCCACAAAGCAGGAGATTAAGGAAGACAACATTGGAAACCAGCTTCTACGTAAGATGGGCTGGAAAGGAGGTGGTCTGGGCCGAGACGGGGAAGGAATCGCAGAACCAATCAGAGTGAAGGAGCAGTTCTCGAGAGAAGGTTTGGGTATGGACACGGACAAAACTGGAAATCAGCTTAGCAAGCGTGACATTGAGGACATCATTCGTAACTATGCCAGTTCAGACCGCCAGGACGACCTTCGCTTCTCGACTGACCTCACCAATGATGAACGCAAGCAGATCCACCAGATATCTCAGAAGTACGGCCTGCGAAGCAAGTCGTACGGACAGGGACGGCAACGGTTCCTTGTTGTCAGTCGGAAAGTTCACAAAGACCAGCTCATTGGTCAGCTTTTACAGGAAGGACAGGTGGGACGATACGAGCTTGTGAAACCTCAGGCCTCTCACTAATTTGCATGCAGAGAAGAACGGACAAATTGCCATCGGCTTGGACTTTAAAGCAAACCACACTCAAGTGTACCTGCTGTGTTTTTACTTGTGTGTGACAAATTTTCAACACACACTAATAAATGAGAATCTCTCTCATGTCACTTGTGGTTTCTGCATTCCTTCGCCATACATTGTACTTTAGCTTTAGCAGGGGCTGAAGGATGAGTAATTTAATTTGTCTTTTGTGTCTCCTGCCATTCCACATGTCTGAGCTTGTGGTCAGTGCTTTGTGGTATCATGTCCTGATGATGCTCCAGTTATTTCACTTATCTTCAATTTTAAAAAAATGACTGCGGTTTCTGTTATCAAAATCCACTTCTTGTTTCGTTACTGTTTAAGGAACCTGGCAGAATATGCAGCTTTCCACTGCTTGTTTGTGAACATTGTAGACGGTTGACTCATGAGAGACGAGGACTAGTGAGGCAATAACATCAAACTGTAGCGAGGTGTTCATTCCAGTCTCACTGTAGTGATTTTCTGTATTCAGCAATACCTGCAATGTCATTTGCTATTTCGACACCTGGAGATCATTCTATAAGTACAAGCTGCATCCAAGAACAGAAAATCTTCACATAGGAACTGTAAGCTGTGATCTTTGTTCAATGTCAGATGTATTGGTTTGTGTGAGTACAGTTAACGTGTCTGCTTGTTTTCACAGCTGTAATTACTGAATAAATTAAAACTGACAACCATCAACAAGCTGATCTGAATTCCGGTGGATATTTTTGTGCAAAGTTCAAAAGCAACAGACAAATGATGTATATTTATTTTATTTACAAGAAAATGTACAGTTTGTTACATGGGTTACCAGTGCAAAGTTTTATAATCTGAAAACAGACACCATCCTGTTGAAACAGTAAAATCAGCTTTTTATGACAGCTGATTTGCAAGATTGTAAAATAGCATACAAATGTTCTCACACAGCCTTTAAATGTCAGCATTATGAAACTCTGCGTGAAACCAAGTCAAGGGTAGTAAATGTCTTGTTTCTGTGTTGAAGAGGGACAATACATGTTTACCAATATCTATAGTATTTTTAAAATCAAAGGCATGGCTTTTAGAAGAAAAGCTGAGAGACAAATGACCCCCAAAAGGCATCTGTTGAGTTAGAGGGATGAATGTCCATGCCAGGTTCATTTTCTATCCCTCTGAAAGGCTTTCAATAGGCAGAAACAAACAAAACCAGAAGGAGTGAGCCCACTGAAACAGGAGGAAAAACACCCATGAACAGCTTTTGCTTTTTGTAAATATGAACTGCGGGTATCTACACAGCAAACCACACAGCAAGCACATCTAATTAACTGTCACCATATCATCAGACCATTTCACTTCATGTATGAATAAACGGGTAGAAAAGTGACAACTGAGAGACTGGCTATTGCCTTTTTTTAAAAAAACAACAAAAAAACAAAGTAGTTGGGGCATGTAGCAAGTAACCCAGATATAACAAGGTACATTAACTTTTAACAAACATACGCTATTGCCCAACAACAGCATTCGGCAGGAGTGAATGCCACAACAAAACAGCATACAAACTTAGCAACAAGTAGGGGACAAATATATTGAAGGATTTTACGATGTGTCATTTTATTTCTGTGAGATCAGTTGTTTTCTTGATCGGTGGTTTCTTGATTCTGGGCTGGACACTGTTCATACTCCAACGATAACAGGGGTCAACAGTCACGCCAACTCTGTTCAACAATAGCAGAAACCCTTTTCTCGTACTCCCGTTTGTTTTCCTGGTACAGCTGGGCTGCTTGGCTGTTGGCTGGACTGTTTGGGTTTGGCTCATCCAGTAAAGACTTTAAATATACAACAGAGAACGCAACTGGGTTAGGTTTCTAAAGGTTTTATGACATAACGGTCACTTAAGGACTAGGCAGTCACTACATGTTAAAAATACTTGATTGTCGACAAAATTGAGATGATAGTAAACTGGCTCATCCTCAGTGTACTTTACTATTTTGCTTTGGTACATCCTGTGCCAATTTGTGTATAGGATTACCTGTATTGAAGTTAAGATTGAAGACACATCATAGGTTGGACTCCAACGATTCTGAAGTATATCTAAGCATATGCTGCCATCTGCATACACTGCAAGAAAAAACAAAAGAAGCTTTTTAGACAAACTGCTCAGTTGTCCTGGGACAATGAAAGGATAACTGGAACAACATTTAATATCTGTAGGTGGAATTGTTAGTACATACCATTTGGATGAAACATTTTGGAGACAAATCGCACTGTAGGAGGTTTATTTGGATATTCCTCTGTGAATTCAATGGTAAGTTTGAAGGTTCCTGAAATTAGAAAGAAATGACATATGAATTCAAATACATCAGCCAAAACCAGCGCATTCCAAAAATTTACCTAAACTGAAAATGCATCTGACCAATTTTTTAAAAAGGCAAGACTAGTCAATTTTATTACTCAACTTATTGATGAGACACTGACTCTTAAAGTGAAATCATGTCTGTACAAGAAACAGCAAAAATCTCAAAGAACTGTACTCTGAACAGTTCTGTTTTGGTCCACAGCGGCTTAAGAAGGCAGTGAGGGAGTGAAATGTAAGTGAATGTTGTGACTTCTTGGATAACCTGCACAGTGCTTGTTTTTAGGGACAATTTGACAAGGTCCAGTGCAGTAGGTTACTGGTTGAAACATCTAAACTTATTCAATACTCCACCTGATCCATGCAGGACACCAGATCAGTAGTTGTACAGTAGATTCCTGGCAAAACAAATTCTCAGTCGATGCTCTTTCAAAACACCATTAAATTCTATTCATAACCGTACTAATCAATATGATCGAACTCCCAGAACCCAATGCTGAGCGTAATTATGAATTATTGCTGAACTAATGTCATAATAGGGTTGGGAAGATAGATTATTTGGATGTGCGGCGCTTTAGAGAGGACTTACCATCTTCAAAAGGTGTTCCCTCCGGTCTAAAAGAGAGGTGCAAAAAAACAGGTTGTAAATCACAGTACAAAAAGCCCCTATAAAATGTTTATACTCTTTAAAACATCCATAAACCAGCACAGAAAATACAGCTTTACCATTTATTTTATGTTTAAAAAATTACTAAGTGTCAATAATATTTGTTTTCTTAAACAACTTACCCAAAAATGACTGCGTTCCATACCATGATATTGTTTTCTGATGGGGCTCCACTCACTCCAGCTGGAGGATCCTCTTGCAGCCTGATTGGGTAAAACATGGTGGGATCACAAAATAAAATGATTTTAGACAGAGTGTAAAACATAGAAGTGAGAGTCATTTCTACTTGACATATTGTATTACGCCCCTGATAGTGGTCAACAGGGGAGGTCTTAAAAAATATTGAAAAGTGTGAGTGAACCTTCTAATGTACAAATCAGCAAACAGCACGGGTCTGTGAGTATGAAACAGGAGAACATCCCTGTGTTGTACTTCTAAGACTAATATGGGCAGTTTATGCCGAAAAGGGGCTGCGTATTTCCCAATAGCAAACACTTCACCAGGACTTGCAGCAGGGCAATATATATGTCAACATTATACAAACATTATATGAGCAAAACATATTGTAAGTCTGGATTTTTTGATGGTGTCATATAATATCATCAATCACACTGTAGTAAAGGGTAAAGTATAGAGGCCTGTCATATCTGAGTGGAAGTGAGCAATGTCTGTATTCACTAGGTCATTACAACCCTAACCCTAATTAAGTTTTATTAGTTGAAATTTAACCTTTTAATGACGTTGACAAAGGATACTGTAAAGAGTGGTTTTAACAGTAGGCCACTTAGGATTAGGTCTCAGACCAATTCAGCTGAAACATACTGTGGAGAAACCATGTGCCTTGGCTGATTGTAATGTAGGTTTTCAGTGACTGCATAGCAGATGGTTGTTGATCCTCGGGCTTAGGCAGTGATCTATACAAGCCAGGGGATAGGAGGTCCCTTGATGAGTGTAGATTTGGAGGCAGTACATGTACCCAAACATTTCATCTGGTTGTAAAGGGCCATGAGGCCACTGAAGTGAACTATATCCGTAATAACCAGATCCAAAAACAGTTCCACAGAATTAATATAAGAACAGAACCATTAGCAGATTCATGGAAGGCTCGAGGAGAAGTGAATATATTACTTGAAGATTATAAATCGTAGTAATGTCATATTTAAAGTGAGCTGTGACAACCTAAACATTACTACTCTCGGCTACCTTGCTAACATTGGTGTCAGCGCCCTGTTAGTAACGGTAACAATAATCGTTACTTGTCAAAAGCTTAGCAGTCACTTAGCTTTTACACATTACTTAAGATCAGTGGTAGGTACATTCACCGAAGACAAAACACGATTCTAATCCCCCAGTGTTTCTACATCTACTTGTAGTAGTATTTTACGGTAGACTGGTAGTTTAGATTGCCGTTTAGGCTAACGCTAACAAGTTAGCCACAGACTGCTAACGTTAGCTATAGCGACTTCTCAGTTGTTTTCCTTTCGCTTACCGTTTAAAATCTCTCATTAAACGTCGTCTTGCTGGAGTTGACATCCTGTTTACACAGAAACCTAAATCCTCAGCTAACACGTAAGCAGCTGAAATGCGAGGAAATATTTTTAATTGCTATATTATTTTTGCTACTAGCTGGCTAGAAAACGGCTGCTGCTAGTTTGTCAAATATTTGGCTACCTCTCGGAGTCTAAGGGCGCTACCAATTACACTAGAAAGAGGACATTCACGGCGACAGCGTATAAATTGGTGAACTGTATAGCCACAGAAACGTAAATCAAAAGCATGACTGAAAGTTGTATTCGCAATTACACGTGTTACTTTAAAAATGAGTCCCAGGCCTTTGTAAATGTAACTACAGTATTTTTTTTTACAAAGCTTGAAGCACCCCGTCTATGAACTTGTATCATTCCAGTGAAAATGACGTCATATGTTTGCACCCATATTTAGTTTATTCTTAACACTGTAGCGATTTATATATTTCATGGCTTAAGCCATCTCTTCTTCCTTATATGCATTTCATCTTTTTCATTTCATAGATTTATACAATGGATAGGTGATTGATAACTTTAGCCATAACCGGTGATCGTGACGAACACAGGGTATTTTTGGGTTAAAGTTACAGTACCGTTGAAAGATCACTAGATGGAGCCCAGCCCACAATGTTTTACATTACACGCCACAGCAACAGCAAACTTAAAACAGTAAGAGTGGTCGTTAACCAAAGTAGTGTACGCTTAACTACCATTAGAAGTGTTTTTCGGATCTTGAGCCTGGAGAACTACGTATGAAATATAAACACCACAAACTGCCTAAAATACTCGGTGTACCACTTGACAAAATCAGGCGTGGAGGTCATCGTGTGCAAGTTTCCCATATGGTCTAGCGGTTAGGATTCCTGGTTTTCACCCAGGCGGCCCGGGTTCGACTCCCGGTATGGGAACGACTCTTTTTTTATGTAGAAGTAACATAATGTGTCATGAATTCTTAAAAAAGACGACTTTGTCGCGTTTTATCCCGTCCCACGAGTGTTGTAGGTGTAGTTGGCCGCCGCCATCATAACATGCGTTCACATCATTTCTAAAGAATCTTGTAGACCCCGCCCGTCGTTCAATTGCTCTCATCTCGAAAGGGCTTGGACATTCCCGGAAGATACCCATTTCCACTTCTGTCTCTCCCTCTGCTAACGCTTGTCGTTGTCCTAACGTACTGTAGGG